ACCCAACTCTTGGCTTCAAGCCATCCTTGCCTGCCTCAACCTCCAAGCTTGGCTGGACTACAAGGCATGCGCCCACCATGCGCTTATTCTATATAAACATATGTTAGTTGGCCAATAATTCTTTTCTATTTTATAGGAACGGGTTTCTCGCTCTTGCTCAGCTGTTTTCGAACTCACTACCTCGCACAACCCTCCGCCTTCGCTCTAGAGCGAATTACAAGGCGTGACAGGCGGCCGCCGGGCACATTTTCTTTATTCAAACACCATGGACAGTTGGTTTTCTTTCACTTCTGTGCCACGTGAATAAGCTCTTATGATTATTGGTTACAAGATAGTGGATCTCTGTGCCCTGTCATCTTCAATTATGAAAGAATTTGCCATTTCAGAGGTTGGCCACGAGAATCACCACAGGCCGGAGTCCTGCAAGACTTGATTCCGCAAGTCCCTGCAACAACCACCTTCAGCCCGAATCTCCCCAGCACGTTCCTGTCAGATTCGAGTCTATCAGATGTGGGTTGGCTGAGCCCAAGAACGCAATCTCACCGCAGCCGCTGGCCTCCAGCTGAACCTCCTCCGAACCTTTGGGAGGAGAGAGATGTTGAATTAAGGGCCCATCATAGCCTCTGTGAAAAAAAAAAAAAAAAAAAAAAAAAAAAAGCCAGTGCTGGGAGTCACTCCCTTGGTTCTCAGCTAGGAGTGGAGATTGTGATCACCAGGGAAATTTGTCTCAAAAAAAAATTAAAAAATAAATAAAATAAATAAAGTCTAGCGTGGTACCATCAAGTCAGTAAAGGGCGCCAGTTCAGGGCGGGGTCTCTAGAGTTCAACGACTGCATTTTTATCCACCTCTATCACCCTGTGATTTCAAGCAAGATTTATCAGATCTCAATTTTATGTGTCACCTGCAGTTGTGTCTCAGGTTCACTGTCTATGCAATGAGGATGATAATAGTACCTCCTTCATAAAGTTGTTGCAAGGATTAAATAATTTGCTAAACAAAGGACGTGGAACGGGGCCTGGCACATAGTGAGTGCCCAGTGAACACGAGCTGCTGTTTGTGAAACCGTCACGGTGGAGGTGCCACCTAACTCAGCTTTGGGAAACAGGATGTATTGGTAGGGAAGGCTCTGGGAGGGCTGGAGGTGGATCTCAAAAGCCGAGTAGGAATTCACCCAGAGGAAGAGGATGAGGCTGGCACTGTGGGAAAAGGGGGTTGCTCAACTAAAGGCTCTTTGATCAGGGAGCCTGGGACCCTGATTGCTCAGGACAGAGTCAGTGAGGAGGTTGTTCGTTCTAGATGGGCGAGTGGCCCCAGGGACCCCTCACCATGTGGACACAAGTGGGGTCAGAGGAGGCCAGAAAGAGGCCCTCAAAAGTGCACAGACTCCAGGGCAGGAGTCAAAGTCGTGGGATTAACCGTAAACCCTGATTCAGAGGTAGAGATCTGGGTATCAGCAGAATTTGGGGGTGTTTCAAGCCCCAGGAGACAATGAGCTTGCCTAGAGAGATCACACAGATCAGGAACTTTTTCTCAGGGATGGAGACTCACCGGATCATCTGCAGCCTGCATTTGGGATGTTGCAGCCCTTCGCAAAGCAGTTCTATGCCTGGAAGTCCGAGGCTGTTGCCGCTCAGATCCATCCTTATTAAATGCTTATTGGCTATAAGAGTGGCTGCGAGGTCCTGGCAGGCAGAGCTGGAGATGTGGCACTTCTTCAGTCTACAACGGGAAAAAGTAAAATGAGCTAGGTCATTTACTTTGTGGTAGTTTTGTGGTCCCCCCCCTTTCCTTTTCTCTCTCCCTCTATTAGGCTACACCTATTTGTCCCCTCTTTCTAAAATAAAAGAAAGGAGATTAGGGTTTCCAGGGACTGATCGGAGGGGGCATGTGGAGGGAATACTAATGGGCTTAGGGTTTCTTTTTGGAGTGATGAAAATGTTGTAGAATTAGATAATAGTGATGTTTGCAGAGCCATATGAATATACTAAAATCATTGAATTATACACTTTAAAAGGGTACATTTTCTTTTTTTTTTTTTTTTTTTTGAGACAGAGTCTCGCTTGTTGCCCAGGCTAGAGTGAGTGCCGTGGCGTCAGCCTAGCTCACAGCAACCTCAAACTCCTGGGCTCAAGCGATCCTCCTGCCTCAGCCTCCCGAGTAGCTGGGACTACAGGCATGCACCACCATGCCCGGCTAATTTTTTATATATATATCAGTTGGCCAATTGATTTCTTTCTATTTATAGTAGAGACGGGGTCTCGCTCTTGCTCTGGCTGGTTTTGAACTCCTGACCTTGAGCAATCCGCCCGCCTCGGCCTCCCAAGAGCTAGGAGAACAATATAAAATGTTTTGATGCTTTGTAGTTAATGAAATATATTCATGAGGCTGCCCTTAAAAGAGAAATTCAAGACCTATTTCTTTCCCTTTTCTCCACTTCCTCTTGTTCTCCATCACTACGAAAAGAAGGAGGTATGAATTTTGGAGCAGATCCCAAGGTGCTCACTGGGCCACATTTGCTGGTGCGCAGGGACTCTGTGCCTTAAAAGTTCACCACCAGAAAGTATGTATTTTTACTTTTTTTTCCTCCAGGTACCTTTATTTTCCCTTCTAGGACATACTCTCATAATGTCAGCTGAAATGGGTAGCTGAGACTACAGGAGTATGCCACTGAGCCCAGCTTTCTTTCTTTTTCTCCTCTTCACCTCTTTGTCTCTGTCTCTCTCTCACACACATGTAGTAAACTCATATCCTTCAAATGCATGCATTCCAAGATTCCACTCTACAGAACGCATATTATAGAATGTTCCTTAAAGTACAAGAAAGAAACACTAATGATTCCTGAGTGATTGCTATAAATTAGGCATTTTTGTATATTATATACAGGGTCATTTCACCTCATTGGGGGTAAACAGATCCAACTCTATTGCATAAAGGAGGAAACTGAGTTTTAGGAGTCTGGTGGCTCTTAAACATGTACACAATTTTTTTTTTTTTTTGAGACAGAGTCTCACTCTGTTTCCTGGGATAGTGTGCCATGGCATCAGCCTACCTCACAGCAACCTCAAACTCTTGGGCTCAGGTGATCCTCTTGCTTCAGCCTCCCGAGTGGCTGGGACTACAGGCATGTGTCACCATGCCTGGCGAATATTTTCTCTATATTTTTAGTTGGCCAATTAATTTCTTTCTATTTTTAGTAGAGACGGGGTCTCGCTCTTGCTCAGGCTGGTGTTAAACTGCTGACTTTGAGCAATCCTCCCGCCTCAGCCTCCCAGAGTGCTAAGACTACAAGTGTGAGCCACAACACCTGCTCCACAATTTGTTTTTTGACACTCCTGCCTTGAAAGGTGAGAATCTGTGTCCATTTGACTTGAATCACTTAAAAAAAACTTAACACTTTAGCAAGGGTTTGAAGAGAAGATTCTGAGTAGACTTAAAACTTCTAAAATTCGGATCCTTTTGTGATTCATAAGCAGGATGACTGGGTTTTCATGCCCATGTGGGAGATGCAGCTCTCTCAAACCTTGTGACAGTGTCAGCACACTACCTGTCTGAGGTGACAAAAAAACCCACAAAAACCCACAACTTTTTAGATCCAGTAGCAATTATCAGATGGGAGGAGACTAGATTGAAGATGGGAAGACTGGAAGGAGGAGATAAAAAAGAGATAAATGAGGCCGGGCGCGGTGGCTCACGCCTGTAATCCTAGCTCTTGGGAGGCCGAGGCGGGCGGATTGCTCAAGGTCAGGAGTTCAAAACCAGCCTGAGCTTTATAAAAAAAAAAAAATGAAAAGAAAAAATTCACCAGTCTAGTAATGGAAATAAATTTTTATAAAGAAAAAAAAAAAAAAAAAAATATATAATATAATTACCAGCTTCTGTGGTTTGTTTGGAGCAAGATGTCGTATTATCTCTTTTCTTATATCTGCTATAAATAGAAAGAAATTAATTGGCCAACTAATTACAGAGAAAAATTAGCTGGGCATGGTGGCGCTATGCGTATCCAGCTACTCGGAGAAGGCTGAGGCTTAGATTGTCGCTTTGAGCCAGGAGTTTGAGGTTTGCTCTGTGAATGCTATATGCTGACGCCAGGGCGCACTCCACTCTAGCCCTGGCAACAAGTGAGACTCTTGTCTCAAAAAAAGAAAAACAAAAAAGACCCTATCTCCAGATACAGTCACATCTGAGGTACTGAGGATCAAGACTTCAATACATAAATTTTGGGTTGTGTGTGGTGCCACTGATTCAGATATATATATATATAAATGTGTATCTTTGTTTTTTTAAGATTTATAATTTGTCTATATATATTTAATATATTATATATATATATATATATGTATATATATATATCATTTTTATTCTTTTTAATAGTATGTCAAGCAGTTATTCATTTCTCATTTATCTCTCTCTTTTTTTTTTGTGAAGTTTTTTAATTCTTATTTGGGGAGTCTCGCTTTGATTCCCAGGCTAAGTGATGCCGATGGCGTCAGCCAATAGCTCAAACACAAACCTCAAACTCCTGGGACTCGAGCAGGATCCGTCTGTATCAGCCCAGTCCCGAATAGCTGGGACTATACAAGGTAGTACGCCACCGATGTCTCTCTCGGTAATTGGTTTTTATTAGATATGAGTCTATCAGTTGGGCGCAATAGGTCTTCATTTCGGGGGATAAATTTAATAAAGTAGAGACAGGAGGTCTCGCTCGTCTGCTCAGGCATAAAGTTAATAGAAACTCCTGACCTTGAGCAATCCGCGCCGCCTCAGGCGCTCACAGAGCTAGGATTCACAGGCGTGAGCCACCGCGCGGCCGGCCTCCATTGTTATTCTCTTGTTTAGTCTCCTCCTTCGCAGTCTTCCCATCTCAAGTCTAGTCTCCATCCATCTGAAATGCTACTGGACTAAAAAGTGTGAGAGTTTTGTGGGATATATGATCAACCTCAGACAGAGAAGTGTGCAAATGAACACTGCCAGATTATGAGAGAGCTGCATCTCAACCACAATGGGCACTGTAGAACCAGATCATACCTAGACTATAGAATCACAAAAAGGATCCGAATTATAGAAGTTAAGTTACTGCAGAATCCTTCTCTCAACCACATAGCTAAGAGTTTAAGTTTTAAGGTGACGTCAGAGTTCAAATGGACAAAGTGCGTGCAGCCGTTTCAAGGCAGGAGTGGTCAAAGAAACAAATGGGAGCAGG